CAATAGTATATTCTTGTATTGTCAATATACTATAAATAGTTATTGATATACTGTATTATGCAGGCTGACTTGTGAGAATGCAATTACTATTGGAAAACATGTATTATGTTATGTTTTTTCATACAGGGGAATATTTTATATATTATTCTCAAGCATATGATGCAAGTTTGTTTTGTTGAAAAATCCCTGTCGTACCTTATAAGACTGACTTATGGTACAGGATGACCTCTATAGGAAGAAGATAAAATTCTTGTGGTGGTTACTGAGTCATTGTAACAACGTGAAGGAGCACAAAGCCATGTCCTTCTTAGAAAAATCCCAAGGAAGAAGAGGAAATAGAAGATTATTGATAGAACTTTAGGATATAACTTTATTGATAATCATGTCTTTTTGTATAGTTAGCTCATTTTGTGTAGTTAACTTAGACAATGCTGTTATGAATGTTGATTACAAGTTTATAAATGTGGCAAATAGTTTGTTTTATTAATTAAATGTTGACAAGTGGCTAGCTAAGATTGAAAAGTGGTTTTCAATTTATTGATAAGCTACGCATTACCATTGGCTAGTGCCGATACATTAGGTGCTATTATTCCCTTTAAAAATCAACAAGTTACAAGATCCTATTGATTACTTGCCGTTGGTAATTGACAAGTTGGTTATCATTATATTGACAAGCTATGCATTCACTATTGACAAGTGTTGATATATTAGATGCTATTATTTTCTTTAAAAATTAACAAGTTATAAGAATCTATTGATTATTTACTGTTGGCAATTGAGAAGTGGTTATCACTATGTTGACAAGCTATGCATTCGCCATTAACAAATGCTGATATATTAAGTACTGTTATTCCTTTTAAAAATCAACCAGTAATAAGAACCTGTTGACTACTTGCTAATGGCCATTGACTATAAGTTATAACTATATTGACAAACTATACATTCACCATTGACAAGTGCTAATACATTAGGTGCTATTATTCCCTTTAAAAATAAACCAATTACAAGAATCTATTGACTACTTACCATTAGCCATTGACTACAAGTTATAACTATATTGACAAACTATATATTTACCATTGATAAGTGCTGATACATTAGGTGCTGTTATTCCATTTAAAAATCAACCAATTACAAGAACCTATTGACTACTTGCCGTTAGCCATTGACTACAAGTTATCACTATATTGACAAGCTATGCATTTTTTATTGACAAGTGCTGATACATTAGGTACAATAATTCCCTTTAAAAATCAAACACTTATAAGAACCTGTTGACTACTTGCCATTGGCCATTGACTACAAGTTATCACTTCATTGACAAGTGTTGATACATTAAGTGCAATAAACAAAAAAAATTGTAAGTCTTGAAAGTATGACCAATCTCATGACATCTTGCATAGTGACAAACCCTTTTGTTTTGAAATTGAGATTTTCTTCTTTTACTCTTTGGCCCACTTGAAGGCCTTATAGTCATTAGTGGCTTCAAGCATGTTTGAGTTAATAAATTTATCACTGTCAATGCTTCTAGACATGAATAGTCATGTGTGGCTACCGGCCTCATAGTGCTGGTATATATCTTCTGTTGAGCAGTAACATTCATCCACAAAATTGTATACATTGCCATAAACTAGCTTAATTGTTGCATATGCATGTACATAAGGTATTCTACTCATTTGCCATGTTAAACAAGAGCATGTATGTGGTACTCATTTGATGATATCATTCTTATCAACTTTTCATACGTACCCTTCCTTTATTGTTCTTGTTCTAATACTCTCCTAACATATTACATACTTTCTTAGTCATCATTTTGAAAATGTTCCCTATATGAAAAAAACGTAATATATGTTCTTCAGAAGAACTTGCCATCTTACAGGTCAATTACGCCACACATAGTATATTGATAACTATACATAGCATAATGACAACACATTTATCTACTATTGACAAGATATAGTATTGTTTCATAACAGAGATTTTTCAATAAAATAAGCGTGCATCATATGCTTGGGAATAATATATAAAATGTCCCCCTATATAAAAAACCATAACATAATACATATTTTTTAGTAGTATTTGCATTCTTACAAGTCAACCTGCACAATACAGTATATCAACAACTATCCATAACATATTGACAACACAAGAATACATTATTAACAACATGTAAAGTTATTCGTATCATATATTTTTCAATGTATCAATATTGCATTAGATTATTCCATACCTATTAGCTATGCAAACCGAATGATCGCAGGTATACCCAAAAAGCATTATCCTACCCTTAAACAATAATGAAATAATTAACACACAAGAAATCATTTACCCGTTCAACAATCACTATATTGTTTTTTGTCGATGAAATCCTGCAGTTGCAAATGAAACACTCCCACCCCGCTTAGATGAAGACAACGGTAATAATCATGGATATGAGAAAGTGAAATTTACACTACCGTGATCAACAATAATGGATATGCAACAATTTTCAGTATCGCTAATTATGAGTTTCGTGAGATATGCATTTAAGCAAAATTTTCTTTTTAATGATAAAAGGTAAATTGGTAATTTTATTTTCAAACTTATTCATCCTTAAACTCTTGGAGATCTAGCAGCTATTTGATAAATTTATAAAACTTTAACATATTTTAATTGTTTTTATGAAATCTTAAAGTGATGTTACCTATTATATATTAAAGATGAAACTAAAGTCATTATTTTTTTTTTTAAGTAGAATGGGAAAATGCGAAAGCACCACGCACTCATTTGCCTGCTATACAGCTGGCAAAAAATGATTTTGCCAAAAGGAAAAAAAAAGAAAAAAAAAAAGAAAAAAGACTGCTATTACCATATATTTTGTTAAAAGCAACGAGATTCCTAGCCGTACATAAAGTTGTCTCCCGACGACAGACATCATCTCGGCCACGTGCCACCTGCTACTCCGCGGTCCTACCATATTCAATTAGGCGTAACTTCTTACACACAATTCCAAATTCTTTCTCGTGGCAACTTCATCCTCATAACTTTTTATAACGTGAACATAATATAGTTATTAGTTTCAGTCTGATACAAAAATTCTTTCTCATGACATCTTTATCCACTCAAACCCATCTTGGGTCACCAAATAATATTTTTCAAACACCCCCCCCCCAACTCACAAACCAAGGCTAATAATACTAATATGTATATCACTTGACCACGTACAAAAGCATAAAACCACTTGCACAAATTAGAGTCGTTTAATCTTATAAGTTGGGTTACAACCATTTAATACAAGTATGAGAAAAAACTTGAAATAATTTATCATAATTAAGAATCACTTCTGTAAAAGACCATTTTTTTTAATAATGATATTTAATTTAAAGCAAAGAAAAAAAAAGGCTTTGTTTTTCCCATTGGAAGAAGCCCTGTTCCCCCCTTCCCCCAAATTGTAACTTGTAAGTTCCATTTAAACCAATCTCGTTTAGCTATCAGGAAGAAATGAACAAAACAAAACATCAAAGCATCATCAAGCCATTTATTCTCCTAAAACAAAACATTATCACCATATCTTATATCCCATATAATATGAGACACAACTTTGGGAAATTTTTAACAATAGCACCCTGGGCTAGATCTGCTTTCCGGATCATACACTTGTCGCTCGATATTTGAGCACACAAGCTGTGTCTTGATTAATAATCACATTCCAAATGGCTCAGCTAAGAAGTGCTTCGTTCATTTTAATAATCTGATGAAGCCCAGATCCGCCTTTCTCTTTGGTCTCACAAAGCGTATCCCAGCTTATGGCATGAATTTCCTGATGTTTGGAGGTAGAGTCTCCAAATAAACTCTCCTTGAATTTTTTTCAAGTTCTTTAATTGCACACCGAAACAGGAACCTTGCTGGTTGTATGTGGTAAATTGAGAGTTTGTGAAGTCATTGACTGGACAAGAGTCATCAACCTTCCTGCAAAGTGAAAGAGTATTTGCATCTTATCAATCAGAAATTTGAAATTTTGCGAGCCTACCATGAGAGGCTTTCCACAAACTCACTTAGATCTAACAGAGGCATAAACACAAACATTGAGTGTCCTTTTGAGCGTGAGAGTGAGGATACGATTCTTTGTATTCTCCGTGACTGTGGATGTGCTAGATAAGTCTTGAATTTTTTACTTAACCATACTTTTGTGCACAATTTCTTTCTCTGTGCCAATTTACAGGTTTGGATACATTGGAACATGCAACATAACCCTGGAGGCAGATTCTCTAGCGAAAAATGCTCACTTGCTGGATCAACATATTGAATTACTTCAGGCTTCACCTGATACTATCTTGGCGGCATTCTACCTCGAAGATCAACTTAGACCTGTTTAATTAGTCATTTTTCTGTTTTTTTTTTTTGCTTTTGTCTTGGCTTCTTTTCTCGAGTCTTTGTAATTGCTTTTATATTTTTTCTTTTAAAAAGTATTTGCTTTTTATTACAGACTGATTTTATGTTGATGGAATCTCCTCTTTTGATGGCGAACGGAAAAAGAGGTTCTACTAAAGTCCTTAAACAAAATCCTATAAGATCGAAGTAGTATATTTTCTCCATGAGAAAATCCAAAATATGTTCTAAAAAAATAAAAATGCAACAATAAGATTATTTTTGGTATAAAGGAAAAATTCAAAATTATCTCACCCATGATTGACTGGGGAGAGGGATCTCTCCACCCTTTTTCCTCATTTTTTTTCCTATTTTTCAATTATGATATTAATTTTATTTTTTAAATGAATTTAATAGATGATTTTTTTTTTTGAGCAAAGAATTTAATAGATGATTATGATGAAAAAATATAGAGAAAAAAAGAGAAAAGAAGTGCACAACTCCTCTCCCCGTTGGATTGCTAATTTGCCATACAGCTGGCAAGAAAATGATAAAAGAAAAAAGAAAAAAAAAAAACAGAGAGAGAGAGAGAGAGAGAGATACTGCCACAGATACTGAATACGTTTACTTGCATCAACTCAGAATTTTGGTTTTCAAGACCAGAAAAGCAACATGATTCCGAGCCATAAAGTTGTATCCCGACCCCATCTTGGCCCTGCGCCGCCTACTACACCGGCTTCCGGCGACGGCGACTGCGCTGGTGATAACTCACTTGAATCGGATTTTGCACCGTAGAACTGCTGAATCCTCTCCAACTCATCTTTCGCAAAATCCACCTTCCTTTTCTTCGATGCCAAATTGAAAGGGTACATAACTGCCTCCTCTATCGCCGAGTGGCTCAGTCCCAGCACGTGACCGATCTGGTGCATCACCACCGTCTCCAGATCCAGTTCGTCGCTCTCCGTCGAGTTCTGGCTCGGTAACACCCACTTCTCATCAACGTCCAAACGACACCCCAGCTGATCGTCGTTTTATCCAACCAGCCGCCTCCTACCAGTCCTAACTGCCCATCCAGCGACAGGAACGTGATTCGAATATCAGATTCATTAAACGACGTCGTCTCTGTAAAATTCAACCTCGTCACCACAGACCACCGACTGAAGGCGTCCGAGAACACAACCTTTAACGACGTCGTCATCGTCTCATTTTCAGGTGAAAAAGCATAAGTAAACTCTATCTTCCCCTCCGGCCACCACTTGGTAAACGGCGTCGTACTATTCTCCATCACAGTGATGGATCCATTTATAACGTCAGGAAAGCCGCATCGTGGTAGCGTGATCAACGACGCAGTGGCGTTGTCGGGCTGGCCGGTCGCGTTGAGGTGGAAAGTCTTCTGAAAGTATTTAATGGCTGATTCGAGCTCGACGGAGAATTCATCGGTGAAATTTGAATTCAAAGTGGAATTAAGGTAACCGAACAACTGAAAATAGTCTTGAAGCTTAGATATGCCGTCGACGACGTCTCCTATTCGAAGACGACCACCATGGCCACGCAAGAATGATCTCAATTGATCCCATACTTTGGAAATCTTGCTAAAATTTAGGGTTCTGAGGGTTCTGAATATTCTGAGCCACAAAGGTATACTGAACAATATATTAGCTGAAGCTGGTCGGAGAAGAAACGGGGAAGATTCATCAACAACTAGAAGGGATAAAATCAAGACCAGAATGTAAGCTCTTCTCACCCTCATGTTTATGTGCTTTCTGCTTGGCAGAAGAGAAAATTTGAGTGGCTATTAATAGCACTGGAAAATTATAGTTTATTTCTGTATGAGTTACTTCCACTTTTGTATAATAATATCATTTTAATCTTATCTATAATATATTAATATTGTTATTAGCCTTATTTAATGACGTCAGCGAAATGACCTATACTCGACTGCTTTAATTTCCATGGGCATCAATATCAATATGACATTACATCTACATGCCAAGTTCCCGACAGAAAAACAGGGAACTTTATGAGGCTCTGTACAAGGAAAAGCGATGCATGAATTGTGTGCGTGCGTGTGTGTGTGTATTATTTAAGAAAACATTTTTGTAGAAAAAATTGAGATTCATGAATTTCTATGAAATTTTTTCTTATATTTTTTATTTTATTATTTTTATAAAAAATAAAATATTGTTTTTTTTCGTGAAAAAAACTTCATAAAATTCACATGTTCTTAAATTTAAAAGATACATTTCCATTATTTAATGCAGTGTGTGTATACTTCTTGGTAAACAAAAACATAGTGTGTGTTTGGTTTTCAGTTTGTCAAAAGTCAGTTTGATGAAAGTTCATTTGATAAAAGTCAGTTTAATGAAAGTCAGTTGTTGTAATAAAATTTATGTTTGGATATATTTTTTCAAAAGTCAGTTTGACAAACTGAAAGTTGTTTGGATTAATAAAAATTTATTCTTTTGAAATGTACTTTTTAATATAAAATGACCAAAAAGAATATTAATTTATGATAACTTATAATTTTATTATATAAATATAATATATTAGCAATGTTTAAAAATGTGAAACAAATTTAAAATAACATAAAATTTAAAATGTTAAACAATAAGAAAAAATTATAAAATTTAATTTTGAAAAAAATTATGTTATGAAATTTAATATATTAGCAATAGTCACTCTTTGCTTGCTCTTGCCGTACATAAGCTCTATCAAAGGCAACAAAAAACCATACAAGGCCACCGTCGCTGGCATTAACATGAACCCCAGCACGTATTGCTTGGTGGACTCGCCTCAGGGGCGATCTCCAGATGAATGGAGAGCCAGCATACCAGCTCCAATAGTGAGCAAGACGATGACATTTATGGAGAAAGGGGTGAACTTTTTCCTGACGAGAAGGAAGGCAAAGGCGGCAGTGAAAGCTAGCTGGGTGGCGATGATCAGAGCAGACATGGAGATGGGGAGGCGAGCTGAGCTACAAGCATAGAGGTAATCGTCGAGGCTAGTGAGAACACTGATGACCAAGGCTGAAAGGAACAAGTGCGCGTCGATGAAGATGAAGGGCTTGGCTTGTCGGGAGAGGTGGCTGCGAATGAAAGAGATGAATAGGGGAAGGAGGCAGACAAGGAATCCGCTGGTTTCGAGCCAGCTGGAGAGCCAAACACGTTTGCCACTGTGGAGGAAGTAGAGGCAACTTATGAGAGGGCCGCCGCTGGTGCCTAGACGCTGGAGATAAGGAGCTCGGGATTTATGACTAGACGGCGGAGGAGAGACGGAGGAGAGAAGGAGGAGCAGCAACAGAGCGACGGACGAGAGACTAGTGAGAACGGGACGGACGAGCGAGCGAGCGAGAGAATACGCAGAATGAAAGAGAGGCCACTGTCGGTGCACGTGAAGAAGGAGAAGATGAGGGCATCATGGTCTTTTGCAATATTAGGTACCAATCATTAATGCTCAATGTTTCTCATCTGCGTTTGAAAAGCTCTCAAAAGTTGCTTTCTATTTTTTCAATTTCATGCTCATTTAAAAGCCCTTTTGAAAAGCACATTTTATCTCAAAAATATATTTCAAACAACATTTCACATTTCAAAAGTTAAAATTCACATTTGGAATGTGAAAAATAAGTTTACCAAACGCACCCATAGTGTGTACTTGTTTATATATACTACAGTATCAGAAAGCCTGGCTAGTCAAGTTAGTGTTAAAATTTTAAGCTTGACTTGTAAAACTAATTTAAGGAACATTAAATCTAGATCACTCATAAATTATAAGACGTGTTCACATTAAATCATTGACGGCACCTCCAATAGTTTTACCTGTAGGAGGACACGTGTGTGTAATAAATTATTTAAATATTTTTCATTAAGTATATCTTCATTTATTTTCATGGTATTAACCAATTAAATAAAATATCTGTTTTTGGAATTTTAAGATTTAAAATAATTAATTTAATTTTTAATTATTTATAAATAATTTTATCTATTAACAATTATAATCAAAAGAAATTATTTTATCACATGTTATTGTTATAAATTAAATAATTATTAAAACAATGTTTCAAAGCAAAGATAAAAAGAACGATCGACAAACATGAGAGGTGGTGTATTTTAATAATATTATATTCCTATTTTGATCTTTTCTATCTTTTACATAGGCCAAGCAATTTTTCTCTCATCAACATCCTTCCTTTCTTTCCTTTCTTTGGATGTCAAACGTCACTTTTTTAACCAAATCTTTCCATTCCTTTCCTTTCATTTTGCTTCCCTTTAAAAAAAAACCAGCCCTTAATATTATTAGGAAAAATAAATCTCTCGTCCTGATAATGTAGCTCAATTATTTGTAATCAGGTTCTGACAATTTAAATGTTTTCCATGAAGTCCTTATAAGTTTATCTGTTAGAGGCATTAGTCCTTGACCTTTAATATTGTTTAATTTTTTTCTGATGTGGCTAACTGTTGTCAGACGTGGCTACCAGGTAGATAAAGCATTTGAACGCTCATTATTTTAAAACTTTTTTCAAGTTTGAGGGTGTCTCACTGGATAACTAGCTTGAGGCCTAGATCTACCAGCTTTAATTTAATTGAAATATTTAGATGTGATCGTGACACAATCCTTTGAGCTGCTATTTGATCCCGCCACCATAGCTTCAAGCTTTAATTTCCTTCGAGCTAAGAAGATTGCATGTAAAGAAGATCTCATGTCTTTATGTGACCAATGGTTTCCTCTTTGTTGGATCCAGATTTAGCAAAGAGATCGAACAACTTTTCTCCCTGTCCCTGAATAATTTTCTCTTTGCCAAGGTCAACTATATTCTTATCATGAGTCTCACATCAAGAAATTTTATAAGATAAGTGGGGTTTATAAATCTTTTGAGACGAGCTTTTTCTTTAAATTTGGTATTTAAAATTAAATCAAGTATCATGAAATGAAGTTGATCTTTTAAAATGAGTTCTCTCATTAAACTTATGCTCATAAGTTTCAAATGAAAGCCAATTTAGGGACATCAAATGTGTTAATTTTTCCACTTTCACTTTTCCAGGCTTAGCTCAATCCTACCAAACGAGCTCCTAATCTTCATAATTTTTGCAAATAATAGGTCATAACAACGCTCTCTTTGTAGCCAAAAGTGCATAATAGTTCTAATAGGAAGACGAGCACGTGAGTTTTATTCAAATAGCAACTAATTATATAGAGTCATTTTGGAAGGCTAATAATGGTTAGGAAATGGCGGGGCTCAATAATGAACAAACGTCTAATAATAAAACCACTGAAGCTTCCAATGATAGTTGCAGTGGAATGCAATAATTATGTAATACACTATTGTGCTGCTGATACATTCCGTTGTCTTTATGTGTGTTTGGATAAGGGAAATAATCTATCTTTTATCCCAAAATTAATTTTTTGAGCCAATTTATCCAAACAATAAAAAAAAAAGTCAAAAATCAATTAGGGGCTAAGATGCATGTTTTTCTATAAGCTCTCTCAATTAGCTTTTTACGAAAAGTTGATCAAAAGTGTTGGAAAAAATTATAAAGAAAGATCCAAGAAAAAATTATAAAAAAGGCACAACATTAAATAAAAAATAAAAGCACACTCTCTTCTCTTAACTTTTTTTCTTAATAAAATTCAAATTTTGTATTCTTAAAAAACTGATGTTTAGTATTTAAGAATTAAATTATATAGTAATTTATATGGTTAAAATTGATTCTGATTAAATTATTCAAGATCTGTTAAAATTAATTTCAAAAAAACAGTATCCAAATAGATTACCTTATAACGTAATCAATTATGATTAAAATTTATCACTTAATCAATTATTTTCATAATCTATTACACCAATTAAAATTCAAACGGCCAATTTGTAATTAATAAGATATATTTAAATTTCAACTAAAGTGTGTGATTAAAATACATTACAGCGCCATTTTTTGCGTGAGTTACTTTTTCACAAATTTTATATTTTGGAGATATATAATTTATAATGTGCATTCATTTTTCAAACTTCATGATTAAAAATATTGCACCAAGAAATTTAAGAGAAATAAACTTTACTGCATACATGTATATCGTATAAAGTGTTAAAAAAAAAAAAGATGTAATACACTTCATTAGCATCCAAATTATGTGTTGAGCAGCGAAGTTTGAAAAATGAGTATTAGGCCTAACCCATTAAAAAGGTCAAACTAAGACCTATCTAAGGTGCGCAGCCCGGTGCCTACCTAGCCCATATGTTGATAAGCTTTTTAAATTGTTAAACATGATTCTGATAATAAAAAGAGCTTTTTTCTGTTATTAAAAAAAAAAAAGGCTTTTGTTTTATATTTACTTTTAAGTACATCCTTTTGTTGAAAACTTGGTTCTTTATTCGATTTTTATTTTTTAATTGACATGCCATTTAGTATTGGTAGAAAAATTAAATAAAATAGTTTGCAGATTTGTAAACACAAGTTATGAGATTAAGGGTTAAATAACAAAAATTGCCATTATCTTTTTTTTCCCATATGCACGGCGTTGGTTGGTGACACCTAGCTCTTGTTAGAGTTCAAACGGACATCCTAGTTTCTTGTGGCGCTTCGACTAGTCGCCGCCTGCCACCGCTATCTTCTGGCGATGCCATGACAAGAGCACAATTCAAATGTCAGATTCGTTCCATGCTGGCGACTCTGTGAAGGACAATCTCATCACCTTCAACCACCAGTCAAAGGCATTTGTGACCGTTATCAATCATTTTAAGAATAATACCCTGATCTG